ACGCTCATTTTTTAAATATTGTTATTACCAATGCAAAAGAAAAATAAAGAGCGCGAGGCATTTGAATACCTCAGGCGGCTAGAAATAACAAAATAAAATCTTAAGCGTTAGCGTTTTCCAAAGCATTTCCGTTAGGCGATTGGCCCCCAGTTTCGCTTTTTAAATCCCTTCCGCACTAAGGGCTTACTCATCAGACAGCCACAATTTTCACTGTTCGATGCGTGGTATTATGAATTTCAAAAAAAGAACATTGTCATTCACGCGCGTTCTACTACCACAGCGACGAAATTTTTGATGAATTTTAAGTTCTCATAACGCCCCATGCTTTCAGAATCTTTTATAGAGGATCCATATTATCATGGGTGTAAATTAAGTCTTGTATGCAACTGTTATAATTATTTATTGAAACACTCCTGTGATAAACCGACATTCTTGTTTCAATACCCATCATTATACAACAGTCAAACGCAAGGAAACAGTTATTGACGACGTGAAAAGTTGTATCTCCAAGGCAGTGCACTGGTTCAATTTAATAATTTATTATGAAGGAAAAACGAAATGTATGAAATTTGTATTGCCTAATGTAAAACAATGTAATGTAAAACCAGTGTGAATGTAAAGTATAGGAATGTAGGCCTTGTAGACACAACAGTATTATTAGGGATTACTTTAGATTCTAAGCTTCAATGGGGCCCACATATTTATAAATTGTCAAATAGACTTAGCTCTGCAGCATATGCCGTAATGAACATACGCCAGTTAACGGATGTAGATACGGCTTATTAGTTATTTCTATAGTGAATTTCGTACGGAATTTTATTGTAGGGAAATGCCACCGACATTCAAACTATTTTTGTGTTGTAGAAGAGAGCTATTCAAGCAATTTTTAATCTAAAAATTAAAGAATCCTTAAGAGATAAGTTTGAAGAATTTGGCATTATGACGGTCGCATCACAATACATATACCTACGAAAATTTATTACTTGTAAGAAAAAATATTAATTTATTTCTCCATCACTGTTTTTAAGAAATAAATTAATATTTTTGCTTCACACACTTAATACAAGAAACAAAAATAAACTAACTTTACCTGCTACTAGGCTTCACAAAATCAATAATTCATTTAAAGGTCTTTGTGTTCGCTTATACAATAAAGTCCCAAACAATATCCAAGAGTTAACCATAAAAACATTCAAAGGTAGTGTAAAAAAAGCACTTATTAAAAAAGCTTATTACAAAGTGTCTGATTCTATTACAGACAAAAATGCTTGGGTTTGAACTGTTCCAATCATTCCAACGGGTTTTCTAAATTAAACAAATCATGATTGTATTGACGTTGTAACAACATAATGATTTAAAATGTTGTTACATTATACTTTTGATGTTGTGGAGTTTTTTCCCTCGTTTTTCTCCGCAGCTAAAAAATATGTCCAATAACGAGTGGTAGGTAAAAAAATTTGCCCAATTCAAAAGAGTTGTACTATATGTATGTCCAATTTGCATAAACATGTATAGATATCTGACAATAGCATGAATAATTATTAACGTCTTTGGTAAGGTTACTTATTCACACTTATCACCTATAAAACAATTACTTAATAATAATATACTGAATTATTTCTTCTAATTATATTGTAAGCGCCATCTACATGGTTTTGTTGGAACTAATCATAAGAATTTTATCAGCAAAGCATCGTAGTTAGCAATGTAGGACTCGGACAAAACGCTACCAAAAGTAAGTCAAAAACTAACCACTAGATGACGCCACTGTTGAGTGAGGTCCTGAAGTGTAGCTTTTAAAGTTTGTTAAGACGCGCGTGAAATCAAAGTTTACATTTAAATCGTATTTATAAAAGAACCGTATCGTAAACGTATTCGACCATGCCACAGTGTTGCGCAGTTTTGTTTTGTTCGAAAAAAACGAGGAGATTCATTTTCCTTAGCTCTGCTTTTAAATCACTGACTTTCATTGACACGTAACTCATATTTGCCTTAATTAATATGAGTCATTAACAATTATTCACAACATCATTTTAATAAGACAAAAAACCCGCGAAGTCAACCTGCAACAAATAACATTTGACATTTCGGTGACCACACGCTACACAAGCGCCTCTAGCGGCGGATTCATATGCGACAGCCATGTAGGTATCATTAAAACCATGCTAATATGTAACCCTAGCACGAACCAATATCGAATTCGAATACTTTGCGAGTCTGTAATGTCATTGTCAAATGTGTACTGATTTTTAGTAGACTTGCAACGAATATTCGGTTACTATTCGGTATTCGGCCTATTCGGCTGCTTTTATTATATTCTACTTATTATTCGACCGGATACTTAAATAATATATTTTTTCATAGAGAAATAATTGGTAAAATGAAAAATTAAAATCGAGTGATTACGTTTATATTTATATTTTCATTTCTGTTATATGTATAATCATTTAAGAAGTCATTGGTACATAAAACAGGTACATAATTTAATTATTTTCTGTATTAAACAAGTTAACAGTTTTTAATTCATTCAGTCATGTGATGAATGGTTACATAATAGCAATAATTTAAAGTTTACGCGCCGTTTTTGGCCATATCTCAAAAGTTGGTTTTGTCATTTAGCCCCATTTTAGCTTGAGGACGGCAGATTAGAACAAAACAAAGGAGCGCGAAACAATCACGTCTGTACAAGTTTTCGGCGCTAAATCCAGCCGAATACTTTTGCCTAGTGCTTGAGTGGCGTTCAAGCACTTCTTGATTGGGACACATTTTGAGGGAACGTGGTGTATCTAGGGTATTTAACATCATTGGTGATAAGGTAAAAGGTGCCAGGGTTCCACGGGAGAGTTAGCACACCACAGGTCAGGCGGTATGTTTGCAATTTCTGTAGTTAGGTATTATCCTGACTCAGTGACCTCCTTCGCTAGTTTCGTGAAATTGCCAGTATTGTGATAGGGTGCGGCCAGAGTGCACTCAGATTCAGATTCAGATTCAGAAAACAAGCGCGAGAAATAAACAGTGTAGTCGAAGGGTACGGCCAGAGTGCACTCCTGATTCAGATTCAGATTCAGATTCAGACTCAGAAAACAAAGCGCGAGAAAAAGCAGGCAACCTGCTTAGACTACACTGTTTATTTCTCGCGCTTGTTTTCAGAATCTGAATCTGAATCTGAGTGCACTCTGGCCGTACCCATACGCTAGTTTCGTATTTTGTCAGCTTCGCTAATCTTACGGTTTACGTACTCTTCAGTTCTCAAACTCATTTATGTTTTTATTTTTTTTAAGCATTTAACTGCTAGATGTTTAAATCTAAAGATTTTTTTGTTTTAAATCTAAAGAAATGTTGAAAAAAAGGCGCTGCCTTGCAACTTAAGGCTAGGAAAATTTCGATGCGGCCATCATGGCCATGGTAGCATAATTGGTCAGTGCGTTCGCCCGGTTGGCGAAGGGTGCGCGTTCGAGTCCCGTCCGCTGCCTGGTCCGCATGGTGTTTTTTCTAGTAAAATTTTCTTTGTATTTAAACTCATTTATTCAGTCTAGGCTTTTACAAGCACTAATGAAGGTCAAGAAGGTACGCCATCGGTTCGCAAAATTACGGCTTGAGACCTTGTACTGAGAAGAACTGGCAAGAAATTCAGCAAGGGCTGTATTTTCTCCCTGTATTGTTATATGCAGAGTCGTCAAGTTGAAAAATGACTTCAGAGATACTTCTGAAGTCACCTTCCATTACATAGGTAGTTACTTTAGGTAGTAGAGAATTTTGCCAGTGTCGCTGCAAAATTCTCTGCTACCTAGAGTAACTAAAAAAAAAAGAAACCGACCAAGTACCGACACAAGTACTTACTTCACGATACTACATGTTACTCGGTTCTAAAGTATCGATGCCAAAAGTACTTGGTATCGAAAGAAAAGTATCGAGTAGTTACTTGTATATACTCATATCGTTTCATCTCTAGTGAAATGAAATGAAATGAAAAACATTTATTCGAAACAGACGTGGATACATACAAAAGGTTAAATTTATACACACACACACATACATATATGTACATATATGTATACACATACACATATATACATATATATATATACACACTAAATGACGGACATTAAAAAACATACATTACATATATCCACAGCTGGACCGAAAAGGATCCAGTTCAGCATGAGTCAGTTTGCACTGACGCTGGTTTTCAACTGGTTCCCTTCCTGATTTGTGGATGCCAGACACTATGATACAAGATTAAAGGATTTTATATTAAATAAAAATGAAATATTACAAATTGTACCAGTGAACAAAATAAAAAAAATGGGTGCGTGTACTTATGTAGGCGCGTGAGAAGTTATCCTTCTTTGGCATCGTTTAAAATTAGTTTTTAATTGCATGCAAATAATTAATTACAATAAATTAATAAAAAGTCTGGAAAAGGACACAGTCAATAAAGTTCAGTTTTAATTTGAAAAAATAAATAAATAATCAAAATATTCAATTCAAATCGCTACTGAATATAATTTATTAGAACATATGTGATTTGCACTTGTATGAAACTCAAACACGTATTCCGAATATATAGACTAAAAACATGTGGATAAATATTATAAATATGAATACCTATAACTGTTACTTTATTACAATAATAACATAAAAGTAACATTGAAAAATAAAGATGTGGTTTTTGGTTCTACTACACCAATGGTCAAGAGATGGCGCTGTAGTCTCCTGAATCGCGCTTTGGTTCCGTTGTTCCAGATTAATAATACTTTTGATAGGCCTTCACAACGCAGTCGTTAGCACCCACTAAATAGAGATTCTATTTCTATTTTGTTGGTAGATTTTCTTAATGTGCGGTAAAGCGACCGACTTCATGCTGTTAAAATTTTGTGTTACAGTGATGCGCGCGCATCTTAAAATTTCACTCTCATCATGTTTTCATAACGCGCCTAAAGAAGTATAACTTCAAAAGTTAGTGATTACTAATTAATTTGAATCTTCCTTGGTTTCAGTACGGGTCACGCCCTCCTGCACACGCTGTATGGCTACAGCACCAAGTTCAAGAACATCGACTACTTCACGGAGTTCTTTGTGCTGGACCTCCTCGAACAGGACGGGGCTGTGGTGGGCGCTCTCGCTATGGACATGGAGAACAGTACCCTGCATAGGTATCTCTTATCTAATAGACAAGTCCGTCCGTCCGTCCGTGGTGCTGTTTCAGCGGCCAAACCGTAAGAGATAGATATAGAGAATGTTCAAGTTATAAGTTAAGAATAGTCTGACAAGACTATAAACCGGATGTGAGTAACGTAGCACTTCCGGTTTCCGAGAAATCACGTGATTTCCATTTCAAACGAAACCACACAAAATCTCCGAAGTTCTCAATTAATTAAATACATTTTTTTTTGGTGAACATTTGGTTCACTGGTTTGCTAGTCTCTTATCTATTAGACGTGTCCGTCTGTCCGTGGTGCTGTTTCAGCGGCCAAACCGTAAGAGATAGATAAAGAGAATATTTAAGTTATAAGTTAAGAACAGTCTGATAAGACTACATACCGGATTTGAGTAACGTAGCACTTCCGGTTTTCGAGAAATCAGGTTTTGGTGAACATTTGGTTCACTGGTTTGCTAGTTTTTTTTTTTTACTGCAAATCAACAGTGATAAAACTTGGTAAATAATTAGGAAAAGAAAGAAAGAAAAATTATTTTATTGCTGACAACACATAACATACACATAAAAATACATTTAACGTGAAGTAAAACAAAACGTACAAGTAAAGTTAACAACAACAAAAAACAAACAAACAACAGATAGTAAGGGTGAAGCCAAACGAGCGTAATTTTGTGAGTTGTGAGTCGCTTATTTTCGGTCACTTATTTTACGTTCAACTGAATTATTTCTGTTGAGCTGCCATACGAACGTAATTTATTCAGTTACTATTGAGCGTTAGTACGGGGTGTTCGTGTCGTCGAGTGCAATGGATCCATTAAAAATATTGTGTATTTACGAATCATATTCAGAAGATAAGGCCAGAAAAAGAAACTGGGTAAACCCACTGAATAGTCAGAGGCTGATATGTGGACAGTTCCATACTTTATATGAACGTTTATGTGCAAATCCAGATATGTTTGAAAAGTACTATCATATGCCATTACGTGTTTTTCAAGAATTATTACACCACGCAACTTGTAACAAACTGTTGCTTCCCCACCCCCCTTCCTTGCCCTACCCTCACCCCGACCGAAATTCGGACGAGCTTATGCGCATTGAGTCGGCAGACAACTCATTTTGCGTTGTCGTGTGGCACCAACTGCCTTTTTGTATGAAACCGAATGCAGCAGAATTTCTGCGACCGAAATTCTGCGACTCACCACTCACAAAATTACGCTCGTTTGGCCTCACCCTTAATGTGTATTTTATGTGATGCTAACACTGGATATAGCTCAGCATACACAGCAGGTAAAGTTCCTGTTGCACTGATATTCTGCCATACCCAGAGCAGTGACATCACAGAAAACAAGAAAAAGGAAAAATTAAATTGATTACATCCTAATTAGAAAACAAAAAGAAAATAAGTCACAGTATAGGACAGAACACATAGCAGTAGAGTTGTTAACCCTACTATACAATATAGTATCCTACTATCTTATACTAAATTTCAAAAATATTTAAATACTAGCTGTGCCCCGCGGTGTTACTCGCGGTTTATTAGGCATATTTTCCCGCAGTAAAACGAAGCCTATGTGTTAATCCAGGGTGTCAGCTAACTCCATGCCATATTTTATTAAAATCGCTCCAGCCGTTTAGACGTGAAAAAGTAACAAACATACACACTCACACACTCACAAACTTTCGCCTTTATAATATTAGTGTGATACTTATTAGGCGAAACTACTATATTTCGCTTAAAGCAGACTCTAGCCAGTAAAAAACTTTCTTAAAAAAAAATGGGTGCGTGTACTTATGTAGGCGCGTGAGAAGTTATCCTTCTTTGGCATCGTTTAAAATTAGTTTTTAATTGCATGCAAATAATTAATTACAATAAATTAATAAAAAGTCTGGAAAAGGACACAGTCAATAAAGTTCAGTTTTAATTTGAAAAAATAAATAAATAATCAAAATATTCAATTAAAATCGCTACTGAATATAATTTATTAGAACATATGTGATTTGCACTTGTATGAAACTCAAACCCGTATTCCGAATATACAAACTAGAAACATGTGAATAAATATTATAAATATGAATACCTATAACTGTTACTTTATTACAAAAAATAAAGATGTGGTTTTTGGTTCTACTACACCAATGGTCAAGAGATGGCGCTGTAGTCTTCTGAATCGCGCTTTGGTTCCGTTGTTCCAGATTAATAAATACTTTTGATAGGCCTTCACAATGCAGTCGTTAGCACCCACTAAATAGAGATTCTATTTCTATTTTGTTGGTAGATTTTCTTAATGTGCGGTAAACACAAAAGTAACGCATTAAGTTGGTCGCTAAAGCGACCAACTTCATGCTGTTAAAATTTTGTATTACAGTGATGCGCGCGCATCTTAAAATTTCACTCATCATTTTTTCATAACGCGCCTAAAGAAGTATAACTTCAAAAAATATTAAGTTATACAGCAGCAAACATTTATTTATTTCAAAAATAAAGTAAAAGTGTTAACCACATACACTATATATTTTTTATTTATTTTTACCATCTACTATATTATTGGAGGTAACAGCTTTTTTGAATAGAAATAAATAAAATAAATGGTACCCTACCTAGCAGTATCTATGGCAGAAATTGTCTATTATTACAAAGCTAATCTGTGGTTAATTACAAAGAGAAAAGATGGACTTTGAAAAGTTGCTGTTATTTATACAGCTATAAATATAAACTTCCTAGTTACTTAGCTGTTTTGACGATTGAATTTTCAGAACTGTACAAACCCTTAGCACAAACCAATATCGAATTCGAATAGTTTGCGAGTCTGTAATGTCATTGTCAAATGTGTACTGATTTTTAGTTCTCGTTACGTCCTTTGTGGCGCTGCTGTTCAAGTTTCCATACAAAATTTGACAATGACTTTTCGGACTCGTAAACTATTCGAATGCTTGTTCGTGCTAGGGGTACTGCACATCAATTAGGTAGGTACTTCAACAATAACAAAAATTCAACTGACGACTTAACTTGTCAGGCGAATTATGAAATAAGCTCAAGATAATTAATTTTAGAGCTGCAAACTATCGCTGTTTTCGTCCAGAAATCCTTTATAGAGTGAACCCCTGTCACCCCTAAGTCCTTAGTCTGGTACTTACGTGATTTTAGGAAAGTTGCTTTTTAAAGATCAGCACGTATCATAATAACCTTAAAACGAATGGAAAGCTGTTTTATATATTTATATGTTAAACGTGTATGCATATGAAAATTTGTTATAAACAAATATATTTACGTGGTTGCCAGACACTTTCTATGGGCCATAAATTTTGCCAGACCTGAATTATTATTAGACTATCAATTAAAATATATTGTGGCGCTATCTAGGAACACGTTTTAGCACTATCACGACATAACAACGCCATCTAACGACATTGTGCCGTTGAAACCAAATTGTACTTAACGACTTTAAAATTGCTGCTTAAAGTTTTGGCTCACAGGAAGTGTCTGGCTAGGTACCATATATGTTTGTTTACAACAATATAGCTTATTAGGTAAAAACCAGTGTTAACGCCATCTATCTTTCGGCGAGAGAATCTACAATCGGTCCATCATCATCGTCCGTTCATACATTCATTTCGTACCCATTCGTTACTACATTCACTCATTTTGATTTTAAATAGATTCACTCTCCCTCTTGCAATTCGAATTCAAAACAAGACAGCGTACGCACATAATTTCAATAAGATCTGTATTTTACTATGAATAATATTCTACAAACTGAATATCAGATTTTTGTTAAGAAATCCACATATTAGAAGACACTAAGCATCGAACAACCAGCCTTCCTGTTTTGACGTAAGTTGCTGTGTTGGCCCCACGTCGGGCGCTGGTGTGACGGTAGCCATCGGTAGAGGGCGTTCAAATAAATAACTCTCTAACAATAAACTTGATATTATATTATGTAATTTATAGTATAAATATAAAACTATATTAAAATAGGTATACTCGATTATTCATTTTTGTCCATCAGAAAATAATGAAGGTCTTCGACTAATAGTTTTAAGAATGAGGATCCGTAAAGATTTTAGTTGAGATTAGTAGATTTATAGAGCTAAGGATCCCATAAAATACAGTGGTTAATTTTTTGTTCTGCGACAAATATTGACGAAGTTATGACCAAATTAATAAACGAACTTTCGGCTGGCCGCGTGGTGACTGTGACGACACAGACACGGTAATATTATCTATATTATTTATCTATATTATATGATATTATAACCGTGACACAGAGCTCTAGCGCTTCGACGCGAGCACGCGTAGAGACGCCACTTAAGTTCGACCGGAATGAACCACGATCGAGCTCTGTGACGTCACACGTTTCGGCCGCCGGTGAAAATTGGCTGCCATAAAATTAGTTATAAAATCGCAACGAATGAACCGATTTCGATGATTTAAAAAAATGTACTAATTAAAAAATAAATAGATCATTATAGATTCGTTTTTGAGTTGATTCGCTGACATAGTAATAATCGTAATTATAGAAGAAAAGGAATAAAAATTACGTAAGTTCCTCAAGAACATAATTCAACAAGAAGTTCTGTCTTGTCTTGTAGGTTCCAAGCAAAGAATACAGTGATCGCCACTGGGGGCTATCCGAGAATGTATTTCTCGTGTACTGCCGCGCACACTTGTACAGGCGACGGGTGCGCTATGGCATCCCGTATAGGGATACACCTGCAGGACATGGAGTTTGTGCAGTTCCATCCCACTGGTGAGATTCCTATACCTATAATGCGATTCAAATGAGAATAGGAAAGCCTATGACCTCCATCTGTCAAATGTCGCTTGAAAAGTACGGCTTGCAAAAAAATCTTGGAACCCCTTTTTAGCACTCGGCTAATTATGGAATAAAAACGAAACATTTGTAAACAAACTATTACGAATATTTTTAAATAATATTATTTGATATTTTATTTTCATTTATTGAGCTTTGGCTATGAATGTTTGATAACCTAAATCGTCAACCAAATGTCACTTTAAGTTGCGTTCAGAAACTCGATATAAAACTTTTGTTTACATATAGGATGCATGATCGTATGTGACCAAGTAATAGTGCATGATTATTCATAACTACTCCGGCGGTAATGCAGAGATGAGCAGAATTGAAGAGCTTAATTCTGGTTAAGGTTTTTTCTCGCACAGTCTTAATAAATAAATATTATTAAAAATCGGTTATTTTCTTTCCCCAATTTTAGTAAATAAATTTTATTAAAAAACCGGATGTTTTTTCTCACTTAATCTTAGTAAATATCTTTTATTAAATAAAAACTTTTTTGCCCACTCTACCTTTTTCGTTTGAATTGACAGCTATGACGCCACAATATGGCGCCCCGTCGATCCTGTTCTTAGTTGAATCGCATTTTACAATGTTTTAGTCGTCTGGAATGAAAAAGGCCTAAACGTGGATTCGCAAATTCTGAAATACACAAGTGCGCTTAAGCCGCGTTGACATGCTCAAAGTCTGCTTTGACAAGGTAGCTCTGATGACTACTTTGAGGTTACTTGATCGTGACCGTATAAACTAGGGCTTGTAATCGGTTTCGTAAATACCGGTAAATACCGGTAAATAAAGGTTAATATCAGTTTTTAGTAAAGGTTTCATTCGGAGCGCGTCCGAAATGAAAGCGGTACCTAAAACCTTAATAAACCGGTTTAATCCAGTACGACACGTGCACGCGTCGGCATCGCTTGAAGTTTGTTTTGTTTGAAGTAATCAAGTCACAACTTGTTAATGCTCAGAGATTGATGCATTTATTGACACGTTTGCTAGCGTCTAGTGAGTCAAGTTATTAATTTTGTAGTTGTGTATTGACGCACTACTTCACTCACTCGCTCTGTAGTTGGAAAGAAACTGACATAAAATCATAATAAATTTTAATTGAAACGGCGAAGGCGATGCCGTCAGTAAGAGCAAATGAAACCTTTAAAAACCGCTAAATTGATTCAAAACCTATTTGATTTCGCTTTTTAGGAAAACCGGTTTTTTGAGGTTAAGGTAGAGCCGAACCTAAATAAAAAGCTCTTAATGTACTTGATACTGATTTAGGGTGCGGCCAGAGTGCACTCAGATTCAGAGTCAGATTCAGATTCTGAAAACAAGCGCGAGAAATAAACAGTGTAGTCTAAGCAGGTTGCCTGCTTTTTCTCGCGCTTTGTTTTCTGAGTCTGAATCTGAATCTAAATCAGGAGTGCAATCTGGCCGTACCCTTCGACTACACTGTTTATTTCTCGCGCTTGTTTTCGAAATCTGAATCTGAATCTGAATCTGAGTGCACTCTGGCCGCACCCTTAGGTTTGAAAATTAACCGGTAAACAAGCCCTGGTGTAAACTAGCAATCAAAGCGCAATTTGACGTCGGAAGTCCAATCAAGGTGGACTTGGACTATACTCAAATTTTTGACAAAGCTACTTTGTCAAAGTTGACTTTGAGCATGTCAAGGCGGCTTTATACCTGCAGGACATGTTTTTTTTGGTAGTTCCATCCCACTGCTGACATTGACAGATCAAAATAGAAGACGCAGATACTGTGTACTTTGCGTATAAAATTCATACCAAAAGGGAGAGCAAAACTCGCCATTTTTGATTTGATGCCATTTTATTTCTATGCGTCATCATTGTCGAAACCTAATGGCTATATGCTATTCCACCGTTCGAAAGTTATCATAACACGACACGCAATTTGAAACACCTGCGTCGTCTTTTTGGGTCGTCTAATTTAGCAGTGATAATGAAGTATTTTGGGGAGAAAAAACTATTTAAATAAAAAAATAACTATTAATCTTCTGTCATCAAAACAGAACTTCAGTGGGTACTCAAATTAAATTTTCCTTCGTGGGTTTTTAGGTATGTACTTCTCTGAAAAATAGAGATTCAGGGAGTAAATAGAATTGTCTTTCTTTTGTTTTTAGGTATGTACGGCTCCGGATGTCTGATGACGGAAGGTGCACGAGGAGAAGGTGGATACCTGGTGAACAGCGAGGGCAAACGCTTCATGGAGAAGTATGCGCCCAAAGCGAAGGACCTGGCCAGCAGAGACGTCGTGTCACGGTCTATCGCCACGGAGATTAAGGAAGGTATATTGGACGACGGCATTTGGGTTATAAATCGACAACAACATCATTATCATCAGCCAATTAATGTCCCCACTGCTGGGGCACAGGCCTTCCCTATGGATGGAATAGGGAGATTGGAACATTACCCACCACGCGGGTCCAGGGCGGATTGGCAGGTGCTAACGACTACAGATGCAAGGATAGCAGATTTTTGGTTACCCATCCAATGACCGACCACTGCGAAGTTGCTTAACTTCAACGATCGCAGCCGAACGCGCTGACCACCCGCGCCATCGGGCTCCTCCACTAACGTGCTCCTGTACAACAAACCTCTGTTCTGTGCTTGAATTATCTGAAATTTTTAATTTATGTGTTCTGTCATGCAAACAGGCCGTGGCGTAGGACCGAAGAAGGACCACATGTTCCTGCAGTTGCACCATCTACCCCCGGAGACGATCAAGGAGAGGCTGCCCGGCATCTCGGAGACTGCCATGACCTTCACTGGCGCTGACGTGTACACGCAGCCCGTGCCCATCATACCCACCGTGCATTACACCATGGGTGGCATCCCCATCAACTACAAGGGAGAGGTACTGATCCATCCATCCATCCATCCATCCATCAGCCTTTCTCCGTCCACTGCTGGGCATAGGCCTCCCCCATAGAACGCCACAATGCGCGGTCCTGCGCTATCCGCATCCAGCGGCTCCCAGCACATTTGACGATGTCGTCAGTCCACCTTGTTGGGTGCCGCCCCACGCTGCGTCGTCCGGTACGTGGTGGCCACTCGAGGATCTTTCTTACCCAACGGTTGTCAGATCCTCGAGCGATGTGGCCTGCCCATTGCCACTTCAGCGTGCTAACTCTTCGGGCTATGTCGTACACACCGGTCCTTCTACGGATCTCCGTATTTCGGATTTTATCACGTAGGGAAACACCGAGCATAGCCCTCTCCATAGCACGCTGCGCGACTCTGAGTTTCTGAGGTCGACATTCAGAGACCACGTCTCAGTTCCATAAGTCATCACTGGTAACACACACTGGTCATAGACCCTAGCTTATTACTATTCTCGATGCACAGGCCTCTATGTCTGGTTAAACTTAATATAAATAACACTATTTGTATTTATACTGTGTGACACAGCAATCAAAATGCAGGTGAACAATCTCTTATCTATTAGACAAGTCCGTCCGTCTGTCTGTCTGTGGTGCTGTTTCAGCGGCCAAACCGTAAGAGATAGATAAAGAGAATATTTAAGTTATAAGTTAAGAATAGTCTGATAAGACTATAAACCGGATTTGAGTAACGTAGCACTTCCGGTTTTCGAGAAATCACGAATTTCAAACGAAACCACACAAAATCTCCGAAGTTCTTTTTTTTAATTGGTGAACATTTGGTTCACTCGTTTGCTAGTTAATGTATATTTCACATTATGTAATGACAGGTGATTTTATGAATTATTATTTTTAGAAGTCATTTTACAACTAACCGACTTTTTAAATATTAAAACAGGGCGAAAATACAGTCCTTGCTGAGTTTCTCGCCGATTCTTCTCAGTACAAGGTCTCCGCCCTTAGATTTACGAATCCATGGCGTAGCTTCTAGACATTCTTGAGTGCTTGTAGCAGCCTAAACTGAATAAATGATTATGATTATGGATGACAAACTCTATGACCAACTATGCGGGCCCATAGGTAGGAGCTAACGACTACAGATAGATGCAGCCGGGACCGACGGTTTAAGGTGCCTTCCAAAGGCACGATATTTCAGACTGAACACGCTAATTTTTTTTTTTATGTTATAGGGGGCATACGAGCAGACGGCTCACCTGATGGTAAGTGATCACCGTCGCCCATGGACACTTGCAACACCAGGAGTATCACAAATGCGATGCCGGCCTTTAAGGAAGGAGTACGCTCTTTTTTTGAAGGTTCTTGGGTCGTATTGGTCCGGAAACACTGCTGGCGACAACATTTTTTTGTCGTACGTGGTAAAAAATTTCGACGAAAACGCACGGTTGTGGATAGCCACGCATCAAGATGATGGGGATGAAATTTTTGTCGCGATGTACGTTTTTTTTTATGTAATTTGCGCCAATGAGCTCTTCATCTTCACATATTCAAACTTTATGGCAGCTGTGGATTTAGCAGCGAGCGCATCAGTTCAGACCTAAATCACCCTACATTTCGTTTACTGCTCCGCGACTTTCGCTAAATGTATGGCCCGGGTTTCTTCATAAGCCCTGGATCAGCTAACGAAAAAGACTAACCATCGTATTTTTAAACAATTATTAGACACTAGCGGCCCGCCCTCGCCTCGCTTCGGTGTAGAGCTGAAGTGTAGATTACAGTTTTTGTTCTCAGGCTTGTATTATACACAATGACATTCTTCTATGATTCTTCTTATACCTGCATGCAAAGTGTCAGCTCGATCGGTTTAAAATTGACAAAGTTTCATACAAACTTTCATTCCCTATTTTATCCCCTTGGGGGTAGAATTGATCAAAATCCTTTCTTAGTGGATGCCTACGTCATAACACCTACCTGCATGCCAAATTTCAGCCGGATCCGTCCATTGGTTTGGGCTGTGCGTTGATAGATCACTATGTCAGTCAGTCACCTTTGAGTTTTATATATATAGATTACTTTTGCTTAAGTAATGATTTAAGCCACACTTACCGTTTCACACATAAGTCATTGAAAAAGTAAGAACTGTTTAAATGAGATTTTTATAACTCATGCCTTAACTGAGGTGAGGTTGGGATGACCCGGTGTTTGTTTAAACTCTTTACTTATGACACGACTCTTGTTACTATTGAAATAAGAACGGAAATGGCTTATTTTAAACGGGCATGAATAGTGGCGCGGTATATACTATGCGGGAATTCCCCGGACGTAAACTAGGAATCATTTCGTAAAGTAGGTACGTAGTATTAAGCGCCCAAATTTTGTCAACCGTGTTTAAGCACGAGTTGCATTAATTTTAAACCAACTGAGAAAATGTTAAAATTATTTCATTCGGGGATCTACAAAAAAGAAACGCCTGTCGGGCTAAATGATAGTGACAGTGATTAATAAGTGGTTGGTTAGTCAACTAGAAAGTGTATTTTCATTTAAATTTAAACAATATAAGTTTCTTGATATCTGCTGTAAAATTTACTGTATATTTTTTTACTTTTACTGTATTTTTGTCTCAAACACTGTATTTTTTTGCACCCAACACTGTAATATCAGTTTCCCGTACCCATGGTCACGAATAAATTAAAAAAAAAAAAGTTTCCTCATCTGGTAACACTGGGTGGAACTGTAGTGGGGATGAGCCGATGGCATCGGTTCCCTTCTAACCTCGTTCTGTGTTCTGTGGGGTAAATTAATCTATACTTATAATAAATCTGTAGAGAGGTCAATTCTGTACATGAAATATATTTTCAAAATAACTGTCAGTGGGTGATTAGTGATCGATACTGATGCCAAAAATGCAATCAGTAAAATTTTTGTCTGTCTGTGTGTATGTAAGGGGTGTAAGGGGTTCTAAATACACCTGCAAGAACCCAAGCCAACCTCACCTTCACGCGGTGCACCCTGTTGACCAACAGACGAGGCTCTGGCAAACCGACCGATGGCGGTATAACCATCCAACGACGTAGGGGAGGGAAATCTCACTGGTGACGGGCAGCAGCGTCATCAGTGAATTAACCTACGTTCTGCGATCGCCAACCCGCCTGCCCAGCGTGGCGATTATGGGCAAAACCTTCAATGCAAACAAACCACAAGCCACGGCCCCCAGTTCCCGGCAGCTCCGCTATTCCTGGTCACGGTGGCGACCACGGTGACGGCGGGGCAGGGGGTGCCAAGAATCTCCGGGCTACGGGAGGCCACCACAATAGACTGACCCTGGCAACGTACAACGGACGCACGCTTCGGCTTGACTCGCATCTGGCGCAACTCGAGGTGGAACTTGGGAAGATTAGGTGGCACATTTTAGGGTTAAGTGAAGTCCGAAGAGAGGGGGAGGACACCATAACGCTCGAATCGGGCCACCTAATGTACTTCCGTGGGGGAGACCAACAGTCCCAAGGTGGCGTTGGGTTTTTGGTGAATAAGTCCCTTGCCGATAACGTTGTGGAAATGTCCAGCGTGTCGAACAGGGTAGTGTACCTCATTATAAAGCTCACCGAGAGGTATAGCCTCAAAGTGGTGCAAGTGTACGCACCGACCTCGACACACTCTGACGACGAAGTGGAGGATATGTTCGATGATATATCGAGGGCCCTCCACTCCACTACTAAGACCCACTACAACGTTGTTATGGGTGACTTCAACGCTAAAGTGGGAGTACAGAATTGCAGCGAATCGGTAGTAGGATCCCATGGATTTGGAAGCAGAAATCAAAGGGGGCAAATGCTCGTCAACTTCCTCGAACGGGAAGGGCTCTTCTTGATGAACTCTTTCTTTAAGAAACAGCCCCAAAGGAAGTGGACGTGGCAAAGCCCCGACACTATGACTAAAAATGAGATCGATTTCATCATGACGGACAAGAGGTATATATTCAGAGACGTCTCCGTGATCAACAGGTTCAATACAGGTAGTGATCACCGACTCGTCCGGGGTTCTCTGAATATCAACTTTAAGGCCGAGCGCGTCCGTTTGATGAAATCCAGGCTCCGACCTACTCTGCTCCAATCTATAACAGGATCTGAAACGTTCCAGTCAAATCTGGAGAACCGATTTGCTGCCGTGGAAACCACATCAGACGTAAACCAAAACCTCGAAAATGTGGTTCGGATCCTCAGGGAAGAGGGTACGAGATTATGTGCAACGCAGCGTAAGGGTAGGAAGTCAAAGCTTTCCGAAGAGACTTTAGGGCTAATGAAGGAACGACGTGAAAATCCACCCGTCACTTCGTCAGCAAAGCGGACTCTAAACCAAGAGATCAGTAAGCACGTACGACATGACCTCCGGTGCTCCAATACTCTCTCGATCGAGAGAGCGATCGAGCAGAATCGAGGGTCCAAAGTGTTCGTACAATCTCTTGGAAGAAGTCATCTGACGAAGTTGACCACACCAAGTGGGGAAGTTGTTGCTTCAAAGCCGGCAGTCCTTTCGGAAGTGGAAGACTTCTACGGCCAGTTGTACGCATCACATGCATCTCGACCAGATCCCGGAAATGAGGATTCTAGAGCCACATTATTCCGGCCCAACGCGTCACTTCACCGAAGACCTGCCAGAAGTCAGTATTGGCGAAATTGAGATTGCTCTTGGGCAGCTTAAAAATGGAAAAGCCCCTGGAGAGGATGGTGTTACAACAGAACTCTTGAAAGCTGGAGGTAAACCCGTACTGAGGGAGCTCCAAAAGCTTTTTAACACTGTCCTGTTCGAAGGGAGAACTCCGGAGATGTGGAGTAGGAGTGTGGTCGTCTTGTTCTTTAAAAAGGGGGACAAGACCCTACTCAAGAACTATCGACCCATATCCCTTCTAAGCCACGTCTATAAGCTGTTCTCAAGAGTGATCACGAACCGTCTGGCGCGAAGACTTGATGACTTCCAACCACCGGAACAGGCTGGATTTCGGAGCGGATACGGCACCATAGACCACATCCACGCAGTACGGCAGATTATACAGAAGACTGAAGAGTACAATCAGCCTCTGTGCCTAGCATTTGTGGACTATGAGAAGGCCTTTGACTCGATTGAAATCTGGTCTGTCCTGGAGTCCCTGCAGCGTTGCCAAGTCGACTGGCGATACATCCAAGTGATTAGATGTCTCTACGAAGCCGCCACCATGTCTGTCCAAGTACAGAATCAGCAAACAAGTCCCATACCGTTGCATCGTGGAGTGAGACAAGGGGACGTTATTTCCCCGAAATTGTTCACTAATGCAATGGAGGATATGTTCAAGACGCTGAACTGGAAAGGACATGGCATCAACATCAATGGCGAACGCATCTCTCACTTGCGATTTGCAGACGACATCGTCATCATGGCAGAAACCCTGCAGGACCTACAAAAAATGCTGAATGACCTAGCTGACTCTTCCATACGCATCGGCCTACGGATGAACTTGGATAAAACCAAGGTCATGTTCAATGAACATGTTCTACCGGAACTGATTGCAATACACGGTGCCGTTCTCGAAGTTGTTCAAAAATATGTATACCTCGGGCAGACATTGCAGTTAGGTAGAAACAACTTTGAGGACGAGGTGAATAGAAGAATTCGGCTGGGTTGGGCAGCGTTTGGGAAGCTACGTCAAGTCTTGACATCGTCGATCCCACAGTGCCTAAAGACGAAAGTCTTCAATCAGTGCGTCCTACCTGTGATGACATACGGAGCCGAGACGTGGACACTGACGGTACGGCTGGTCCACAGGTTCAAAGTCGCTCAGCGCGCTATGGAAAGGGCTATGCTCGGCGTTTCTCTGAAGGATCGCATCAGAAATGAGGTAATCCGACAGAGAACCAGAGTTATCGACATAGCCCACCGGATTAGTAAGCTGAAGTGGCAGTGGGCTGGCCATATTTGCCGAAGAACCGATAACCGTTGGGGTAGACGAGTTCTGGAGTGGAGACCGCGTCTAGGCAAACGTAGTGTAGGACGTCCTCAGGCACGGTGGAGTGACGATTTGCGCAAGGTGGCTGGCAGGAGCTGGATGCGAGTAGCCCAAAATCGATCTGAGTGGCGTGCAATTGGAGAGGCCTATGTCCAGCAGTGGACTAGGATAGGCTGTTGATGATTGATGATGATTGATGTATATGTTCCTTATAGAAACATTATTACCTATTCAATAAAAAAAGAATCATAGAAATCGGTATAGAAACACCAAACTTATACATGAAATAAGTCATCGCGCCGTCGCACGTAAATACTGAATCATGCTATAAGGATTATTTTTGTGTAACGGTTGCCGCGCTCGACATGGGTCGCGGCGGCGGTAGGTATAAGAAGAATGCCATTGTGTATAATACAGGCCTGAGAACAATAACTATAGTCTTCAGCTCTACACCGAAGCGAAGCGAGGGCGGGCCACTAGTTTGAAATAAAATTGTCGTTATAAGGCGCTCGTGCACGAGAACGGTTCGGACTGCGTGGTGCCGGGGCTGCACGCGTGCGGCGAGGCGGTGAGCAACTGTCACGGCGCCAACCGGCTCGGGGCCAACTCGATCCTCGACGTGGTGGTGTTCGGCAAGGCCATCGGCATTAACATCGGCAAGCAGCACAAGCCCGGCGACAAGCAGCCGCACCTGAAAGACGTGAGATTTCTTGTTGAACTAAAGCGGCCGCTCGCGACCTAGCCCTTCGTTTTTTGAGCTTTTTTTTGAAGTTATACTTCTTTAGGCGCGTTATGAAAAAATGATGATAGCGAAATTTTAAGATGCGCGCGCATCACTGTAACACTAAAGTAACATAATGAAGTTAGCCGCGGGCGCGTTATGAAAAAATGATGAGAGTGAAATTTTAAGATGCGCGCGCATCACTGTAACACAATAGTAACACCACGTAACACCATGAAGTTGGCCGCGGGCGCGTTATGAATGTTAGTGTCTAATCCACCATTATAAGACATCTGATCGAAAGGTACTTTGAACGATCCACGGAGCTCCATAAGATGATCGCGTTGTCAAAAACAATGTTGGCACGCTCGTCGCCTCTGATCACTGTTTTCATATTTATAATATTTATCCACATGTTTCTAGTTTCTATATAGACACAACGTGTTTTAGTTACTTACAAGTGCTAATTACATATGGACTAATAACTTAAATTCAGTAGTGAGTTTAATTGAATATTTTGAATATTTAGTTAATTTTTCAAATTAAAACTGAACTTAATTGACTGTGTTAACTATCCTTTTCCAGTCCTTTTATTATTTTATTGTAATTATTAATTATTTGCATGCAATTAAAAAATATTTTTAATGATGCTAAAGAAGTATAACTTCTCACGCGCGTACATAGGTTACACGCATCCATTTTTTTTTCATCGTTATCAGCCTATTAATGTCTACACTGCTGGGGCACAAGCCTTCCCTATACATGGAATAGGGAGATTGGGCCATGACCTACCACGCGGGCCCAGTGCAGATTGGAGGGTTCTTATGACTTCAGATGCAGCTTAACGTGACTTCCGTAGTTTATTGAGTATCGCTAAGGAATGTTACCATTTATTTTTAGATTAATAGTATCTTATTTCTCCCATCCAGTTTCTTAACTACATGCGCACCGAATTTCGTTTTCTTTCAGTAGTTTTTGCGTGATGGAGTAACAAACATACATTCGAACATTCGCATATTGTAATATCAGTAGGATATTAGGATGAATATTTTGCCGAGTCAGCGAAATGTCATCCTTCAATAATATCGAAATTTGATGACAAATAAACGCAATATTCTTTTTTCACTCCTAAAATTGCTACCCAGGAATTGAAAAGCAGGCAAAAGGATCTTTATTGTCATCATGAAAGTTATAACATTTTCTCCTTCCAGAACATCTGTGACGCCAGTATTGACAACTTTGACAAGATACGTCACGCCAACGGTTGCGTGCCACCGCACGAGCTTCGCCATGAGATGCGGTTCACCATGCAAAACAAATGCGGGGTGTTTAGAGACTCCAACCTTTTGGGAGCAGGTAATGATGGCTGGATGGCGCAGGGGGATAGCACGTTTGACTTGTGATTTCAAAAGCGACTTGCTCAATGGTCAATCATTGGTCGAGTGACTAAAAATTGCATAATTTAACATAAGAAGGAGATAGAAAGCCTCTCTTGAGTTTGTTTCGCCGGTTGTTCTCAGGAAGGTCTTCCAATTTTGGAACCGGTGGTAGTTTACGGTAGTTAGGGTCAAATAAATAAATAAACTCAAAATTACAAACAAGTAGGCATGCGTCCGATATGTCAAAACGAATCCAAAATCCGATTTCAAACACAAATCGATACCGAACGATTTCTCAACAAGAAAATCCGATTTCAGAAATCTAACCGAACCAAAACGCTAGCGATCTAATACCACCACAAGTATCCAAATGTAAATCGGATTCGAAATTCGTGCTTTCGTTTTCGGATGTCCGATTTCGTGCTCGGAAGTCCGATTTCGGTTTACTGTTTACGGAAATCTATTGTTCTTCTCTAAGGCGGGATTATTTATTACTGAAAAAGATGTCGTCTAAAAACATCAAAAGTCGAGCAACTAACATTTTTTTGAACGCTAACCTGAAGTAATTAGGTTTGATTTTGTAAATGGTTTGAAAAATAATAAAAACAAACAGAAAAACAAAAAAAAATACTAAAAAAATATGTAAAAAGAAATCATTGTATATAAGCCGATTTTTAAATGCGCCGCAAAAGTTTTACTTTTATCCGTAAAGATAACTTTTCTGCTAGTTCTAAGCCACAGAATATATACTCTTGCCTAAGCCTAGATTTAAAGCATAAAGGAAAATCGCGCAAATCTACGAGTATCATTGCTTCGTACAATTAATTGTTTGTGATTGTCGTTAGCTAATAAAACCAAATCATAACACAAACCAGTGAATTGGCTAAGTTCGGCACATCTGAAATCGGATATCTAAAAACGGATTTTAAAATCGATTTTGAAATCTGAAATCCGATAAATATCCGTTTGCGTTCAAAACCAAAAACGCCCATGTCTACAAACAAGAATTTTAAATGAAATAATTTATTAAGTAATTTAAATAATAAATTCATACATAGACAATAAAATTTTAAAAATCTTCCAGTGAAATAACCGAACGCTCAATATAAGTCTTTCGAAGGTAGCTCGACAAATTTAAATAAAAAATCATTATTCTGACGATGCAGACCTGAAAAGGCTGCGAAACGTCAATAAATAAATAAAGTTTCGTGCATTAACCCGTAAAAACTAGTTTTATTTAAAAACTTATTATCTCGAGCTCCTCTGTGCCTCGGAAGGCACGTTAAGCCCTTATTATCTGGAGCTCCTCCGTGCTTCGGAAGGCACGTTAAGCCCTTATTATCTCGAGCTCCTCCGTGCTTCGGAAGGCACGTTAACCGTTGGTTCCGACTGCATCTGCAGTCGTTTACGCACCAATCCGCATTGGGCCCGCGTGGTGGGTCATAGCCCAATCTCCCTACCATCTTTAAGGAAGGCCTGTGCCCTAGGGCACTATGGATTCCTCTGCTAGCAGTGGGGGCATTGATATTCTGGTGATGTTGAATGGCTTTCCGTTTCAAAATTATTATGTAAAAAGGATATCAAATAGCCATATGGTCCGCCTGCGGCTTCCATAGCCTATAGTCGTCATGCTGCCCGAGCCTGACCCTGGAAAAGTATTTCTTACGACAAGTAAAAACCTTATTGATAGAAATGGAACAACACCAATAGGTAGTGTTACTTTACTGGCAAAATTCGCTCTTTTCAAAAATAATTATTAGAATCTTGTTTTTTTTTTATCGTAGCAGTACCAAGCGAGTGCGGTGACATTTTTGCAGCCACGTTACCATTATCTTGGAAAGAAAGATTAAAACACGTGGCGATTCGTTTTTCTGCTGAATCAGGAATATTCAGGGAACATCTTCATGATTCCAAATTTAATTCATACCATATTACATTATTTTCCCATAACTAGACATGATTTTGGGTCAATGGCTTTTATTTCGCGGCGAGATCCCACTCACAGATAATATCATAAAATTTCCAGCCGATACAGAAATCAGGAAGTGGTATTCCGCCTTCAAAGACATCAAGGTGACGGACAGACGGCTGAACTGGAACAGCGACCTGGTGGAGACCCTCGAGCTGCAGAACATGCTGGAGAGCGCGGTGCAGGTGGTCGCCTGCGCCAAGAACAGGACGGAGAGTAGGGGGGCGCACTTCAGGGACGACTTCCCGAAGAGAATAGACGAGTTTGACTACAGCAAAGATATAAAGGGACAGGTAACTAATAATTAACACGTTCCCTCCGATTCCGTCGGCCTAGGCACGTCTTAGAGTAGGATAAGAGTGCGAAGACCCGGTCTACGCACGACACGCTATACCAGGTATGTACCTGGGCGTTTTTCCCCGCCCCCCACGACAACGGCTAACTAGAGCCGAAGTCTCAGAGACGCCCTCTAGTTGAGCCGACCCCTCAGGTTCGAGTGCTCTGGAGGCTCCAGACGGAGAGGAGACTCGCCCGTGGGGTGACGCCATCCGCCTGGAATACCTCTAGAGGCACTCGCCAATTCTCGGCTTGAAGTCCCCTTAGGATGTCGCCGTCCCCAAATCCGGTGACGCTGTAAAGGTCATCTGCGAACAACAGCATACACAGTAAAAAAAAAATCACAAATTATTGTCATTCATAATGAGGAGCTCGATGGCGCAAGTGGTTAGCGCGTTCGGCTGCGATCGTTGAAGTTAAGCAACTTTCGCAGTGGTCGGTCATTGGATGGGTGACCAAAAATTTACTATCTCGAGCTCCTCCGTGCTTCGGGAGGCACGTTAGGCCATTGGTCCCGGCTACATCTGCAGTCGTTAGCACCCGCCAATCCGCACTGGGCCCGCGTGGTGGGTCATGGCCCAATCTCCCTATCCCATCCATAGGGAAGGCCTGTACCCCAGCAGTGGGGGTATTAATAGGCTAATGATGATGATGATGATGATAGTGAAAAGCATGTGTTTATTTCTATAAAAATATGCTTTTATATGTACAATAAAAAAGGTAATTTCTCGTTGGGCGCAGACACAGAAGACAATGGACCAGCACTGGAGGAAGCACAGCATGTCGATGGTGGACCGGAAGACCGGTGACGTCACTATATCGTATCGACGCGTCATCGACCAGCCCATCAACGACGACGTGGCGTGGGTGCCGCCTGTGCCCAGGGTCTACTGATGTCCAAACATGTGTTAAGAACATTCCCCTGTCTATTTATTGTCCATAAATTTTTCGAGTTACTGTCTTTTGGAGTTTCATTTTTATTAAACGTACTTACTTTTTAAAGTTTAACAGATGGTAAGTGATCACCGTCGCCCATGGACACTTGCAACACCAGGAGTATCACAAATGCGATGCCGGCCTTTAAGGAAGGAGTACGCTCTTTTTTTGAAGGTTCTTGGGTCGTATTGGTCCGGAAACACTGCTGGCGACAACATATTCCACAGTTTTGTCGTACGTGGTAAAAAATTTGGACAAAAACGCACGGTTGTGGATAGCCCCGCATCAAGATAATGGGGATGAAATTTTTGTCGCGATGTACGATGGCGAAATGCAGCAGCTGGAATTCCAGCTGAATCCGAACAATTCCTCAGAACACTTCCCGTGATAAATGCGATAGAAGTTAAAGTATTTAGTTTACTTAAAGTATTTTACTCTGGAAACCTGTTTCTATTATTCATTATCGCGTGCCGTGTTCTGATTATTGTAAATCTGTACTCACTGGAGGCACGGTAATATTATCTATACAGTATTGTGACTCCGCCCTGTCCTTGAAAATATATGCCTACAGCCGAGCGCTGCGTTAGCACACGGTAGGGCCGCCCGCCTACAGTATTTTATGTAGTTTTGTTTTTAACGCGAGTGTAGGTAGATTACTCGTTTGTCTCTAGTTTTTCATCCTAACCACTTATTTATATATTATTCTAGATATTTTGCCCGATGGAAAAACCGAAATACTTTATTAGAAACAAATTACGCACTAGTAGATAGGTATATAAAAAAATATTCTATAAAGGTAAGACACCTTTCCAATATTTCAGGTAATTTAAAAAATTATATCTCTGGGTGTGTTATTGAAGAGTTCAAGCAACCAAAAACAGCAATTGTGCTGTTGTACGATATTGATCGTCGTTTGTTCTTTTCCATACTAAATTATGTAGGTATCTACTTAATTAAATCAAATATTTACAATACAAAATGCATGTTTAAGCACGGCTAACTGCATAAAAAACAATTCAAAGCGTTCGGTCGTCGTTGCGGCGCGGCGGCACATTCGCGACTGGGTGCCCGCCGAGAGCACATCGAACTCGAGTGGCGTAGGTATGACTCGCTTTCCGACCGTTTGTATGAAGATAGAATACTGTATGATATTATTACCGTGCTAATAACCCCATAACTTGGGTTGCGGGAAAATAATAATTTTGCTCGCTCAATAGTTATATGGAGAGGCCAACCCTAGGCGTACGTTGAAAGTGGACTGTATCAGGGGGGCAGTAATACACAATCATATATTATTAAAAATACAAAATAAACTGCGCAAATGCCTTGTCTATTTAAGGACGAAGAAAATGGTTGAAGACCTGGAGACAAAGGAAAGGAACATGCGCATTTACCTCAGCACACAATGCGATATATATCGAGATAGATCGTTGACCGGCACAGATTTTGCATTAATATAAACTAGCAAACCAGTGAACCAAATGTTCACCAAAACCTGATTTAATTAATTGAGAACTTCGGGGATTTTGTGTGGTTTCGTTTGAAATTCGTGATGTCTCGAAAACCGGAAGTGCTACGTTACTCAAATCCGGTTTGTAGTCTTATCAGACTATTCTTAACTTATAACTTAAACATTCTCTTTACCTATCTCTTACGGTTTGGCCGCTGAAACAGCACCACAGACGGACGGACGGACGGACTTGTCTAATAGATATTTTAGGTAGAGATTTTACAATGTAAAGTGTTCGTTGTAATTAACGGGCGCACAATAATGTTGAGATATTAAATCACAACATGAGTGTCTTCCATTACAACGTTCACAAGAGAGGCGGAAAAAAGTATAATGTCCTATGCACTCCGCGGTGTCGTCGAAAGCGGAACGGCCATAGCTAAAAGTGCACATGTATGAAAAGGATGGGAGGCAGATTAGATTAAGGCTATCACGTATGAATCCGCCGCTAGAGGCGCTAGTGTAGCGTGAGGTCTCCGAAATGTCAAATGTTATTGCTTGTTGGTTGACTACGCGGGTTTATTTCTAATTAAAATAATGTTGTGAATAATTGGTAACAATTCGGCTTAATTATGGCAAATATGAGTTCTGTGGCAATGAATGGCAGTTATTAAAAATTTGAGCTTAGAAAAATGATTATGTTCCCATTTTTTCCGAATAAAACGGAACTGCGCGTCACTGTGGCATAGGATATGGTTCTTATATATGACCCACCACGCGGGCCCAGTGCAGATTGGTGGGTGCTAACGAATGTAGAAGCAGCCGGGACCAATGGCTTAACGTGCCTTACGAATCACGGAGGAACTCGAGATAGTAAATTTTTGTTCACCCGTCCAATGATCTACCACTGCGAAATTGGCTTAACTTCACAGATCGCAGCCGAACGCGCTAACCACTTGCGCCATCGAGCTCCTCTCGCAGCCTAAAAAGTTAGTCTTAACAAACAAAAATGACAGCATCAGTTTAGTTCAAGTTTTAATTTAGTCTACGTCGTAAAAGAGATTTAATGTGGGCTACCGTTTTCTGTCTCACCAGATGGCGCCACTGTTGAGTGAGGTCCTAAATTGTAACTTTTAAAGTTTATCAATACGCACATGAATCGTATTTTAACACAAAAGAACCATATCTTAAAACATAATGGGCCATGTCACAGTGACGCCCAGTTCCGTTTTATTCGGAAAAAATAGGAACATAATCATTTTTCTAAGCTCAAATTTTTAATAACAGACATTCATTGCCACATAACTCATATTTGCCATAATTAAGCCGAATTGTTACCAATTATTCACAACATTATTTTAATAAGAAATAAACCCGCGTAGTCAACCAACAAGCAATAACATTTGACATTTCGGAGACCTCACGCTACACTAGCGCCTCTAGCGGCGGATTCATACGCGATAGCCCTCATTAAGGCTATTTGACAGTATGAAAAATAATGTACCAATTATTGTTAGCATCTGTGTTCTTGTTACTTGTTGTGGGGCCACGTTTCCGCACTTAGACTCCGTACTTGGTCCATTGCGCGTTCAGGGTATGTTGGGCTAGCTAGCTCAGCCAGCCCAGCTCCTTCCAGAAGCGCAGTAGTCTCCTGGGACTCTCACAGGCTTCTAGGAGCGTCCTCGGCTTCCTGAGGATTGATGCCCGGTTTTCTGCCACGTTCATGCATTCCAGTATCCCAGCTTTACTCGGAGATATCTGTGTATACTTAATATGAATATAGGCAGCGATTTTCCTATTCTGAAAGAGCAAATAATAAGTTTTCTATAAAATCCCTAAATAGAAATGCTTTTTTTGCTCGTGAGTCACGTGAGCGAAAACGCCTGTGATTGGCCAAGATTAAAATGACGTCACACGCTAGTATAGTTCCGGCCAAAGTAACAACATGTATCGTTTGACGTTTTAATAACAGTCGTGTGACGTCACACACTAGTGAGACGCCATAATATCCAAATAAAAGATTTTCGCGGCAACTTTAAAATTCAATTTAGTTTTTTTACTGAATTACACTCCAGAATTAAAAATATCCACTTTGTATGGACTCCATAAACATTTGTAAATAGCGTGAGATAAAACTTGTCAAATCCCTAATCTATTTTAGTACTTAACACGTATATATGTTTAATGTGATTTTATAAACTAAATAGATTTAATTACGAAATAAAACAATTGTGTTGCTCAGAAATGAGAAACAACATTTATAGCTATTATTTCGTACAATTTTTCGTGCACAAATATTATATTTTATTTATTAATTGACGGATGTCAAAACCATATCTTTTTCTATATGGTCACTATTTTACCGTCTGTATTGAATGAAGGGTAATGAATCTCATTTACTTAAGTAACATTACAAATTTACGGGAAAGATTCTCGCAATACATAAAATAAATAAAACTAGTTTTTACGGGTTAATGCACTAAACTTTATTTATTTATTGACGTTTCGCAGCCTTTTCAGGTCTGCATCGTCAGAATAATATTTTTTTATTTAAAATTGTCGAGCTGCTTGGGAACCTATTATACAGGAGATAAAATCCCAACCCCGAGCACACACTGCAGGACCATCAGATACTATTAGTTCTTTTTGTTTGCATAATTTAACATAAGAAGGAGATAGAAAGCCTCTCTTGAGTTTGTTTCGCCGGTTCTTCTCAGGAAGGTCTCCCACTTTGGAACCGGTGGTAGTTTACGGTAGTTAGGGTCAAATAAATAAATAAACTCAAAATTACAAACAAGAATTTTAAATAAAATACTATATTAAGTAAATTAAATGATAAATTCATACATAGACAATAAAATTTAAAAAATCTTCCAATGAAATAACCGTACGCTCAATATAAGTCTATCGAAGGTAGCTTGACAATTTTAAATAAAAAAAAGACATTATTCTGACGATGCAGACCTGAAAAGGCTGCGAAACGTCAATAAATAAATAAAGTTTCGTGCATTAACCCGTAAAAACTAGTTTTATTTAATGAGTGATGTGCGTGAAAACCTAAGAAACAAATACATAAAATAAATTTTCTAGTTGCACAAACAAAGAGGCGATATTCTAACTCGCTAACTAATAGCGGGCAATCGATCGTTGTCTGTTCAAATTTCTTCGAATCACAGCAACTTCCCTTTCATAACATGTAACCTTTTATTTAACTTACGACCCCTCGACGGGCCCTCGCTAAGCGACCACCGTTACATGAACCCCCAACCCGTTGACTAGTCAATGGTTATACGGTGCACCGCGAGTTCTGAACGGCTGGTCGTTTAAGGGATGCGTGGTGCCGCACCTTGCCAGGTGTTGTGGCTTATCAAATCAATGTGTTAGCGATATTGACTGAATAATGATATTGATGCATACATTGCTTAGTGAGCGGTTTATTGACACTTAAACACACAAAAACAGTCTGTTCACAGGTGTACCTTTTAAGTGATTATTTTTAAAAGATTATGTACGCATTGCCTTTTACAGAATTTTAGATTTTCCTCTTCATTTTGTAGTTCTGATCATTTGGGATCATTTGGG